CAGAATAAGAGCAATTAAAAATAGAGTGTTTTCTATCATTTGGAAAATAAAACCAAAAAAGGGAAACAAAACTAAGTTGCCTTTAAAATTACAACAACCCACTTCCCTCAAGACCCCCCCCCAAAAAAAAACCCCAACAAGTAAGCCAATTTGTCACATTAGTGAAGATATAAGGGACTACTAATATTGTCTCTAGTGGTTCAAAAAAACTTTCATATATGTATATATATTTAAAAAGGTAATGCCTAAAAATCAGCAGTGGCATTTGCCATTTGTAAGCACTTGGGACCAAGAGCTGCTGACATGTTGCCAGGTACTATGAAACAGGGCGTTGGCTGCATGAAGCTGCTAATGTCACTTACATCAGAGGTTCCAGAGACTTGGGCTTAATGAAGATGGCGATGGGATAGAGCTGGGCAACTTGCAACCGCTTGATAGCATTTCCCGATACGTCAAGTATACAATGTTTGCCCTGGTAGAAAGACAAGGGTGGAGTTAATGCAGGAAGAATGGCCATAAGCCAAGCAAAAGAAAACGATGTATGTGTACTTTTAAGGAAGGTGTGGGATGCTAGATTTCCAAAGTCTGAAAAAAGATTACGCAAAGAGTAAATCACTGAATGCTTGCAATAATGAATCCTTATTAGGTCCTAATGAAATGCCTGCACCTGGGCTTTTACATGTATTTTCTCAGTTGACTTTATTTTCTTAAATAATACCTGTTCTGCACAAATGTTACGTGATCATATGATATGTGACCGAGCCCATTCTCACAAAGCACATAAATCACCTTGAAGACAACTGTCAAGACATGCCCAATTTTATGAGATAGATATTATCGACTGAATTTCACAGGTGAAAAGATTAAAGCTTAAAAATTTTATTTTGCCCAAAACCACAGTGGGAGGAGAACCCAAACCTAGGTCTTGAACACTGACAGAATTGTTTGTCAGAATAAATAGACACTTCATTGTCTCATTGTGCCCAATGTTAAACTTGAAAGAAGTCATGTGAATTTAGAACAGTTTCATAAACATTTGCTGAGTAATTATCTGAATCTTGCTCTCAATGTACTTAGTTTCATGGAGGACAGACATTGAATGATTTAACTTAAATATTATATGGTTAAATGCGGAGAGTGGTTTCACAAATTATACAAATTTCTTTGTTTACTAATAAATAAAAACCCTATAACATTATAGCACACCTCATTTAACTTGGCTTCCCCTGCAATGAGTGCTCAGAGCAAGGAGCTGCTTTATAAAGCATTTCTGGAAAAGTAGGTACATTTGCAACATCATATTCTGCCTCCTGGAGAGAAATGGCCTCATTACCCAGAGGCTAGAAGAACTTTTCATAAGATGAGGAAAAAAACCCAAAAAACCCCAACATTTTATGTAGATAGGAGTAGTCCTGTATCAGTAATAAAGAATAAAAACATCTATACTACCTACTTGAAAATGACCACGAAAATGATTAGAGTCCAGTGACTATTTGAATTCTTAACATGAGAAATAAACTAAGATGGTTTAAGCCTTTACACTTATGCAATAAATTCCAAGTTGGTTGTGAAATACAGCAGCTATGTAAAATGTATAAATGCTGCTTAATTATACACTGGCTAAAACACTTGAAGTTAACAAAGGGTATTATCTACATGTAAGGTAGGAAAATAGATGATGCTTCTTAGTATAGTCTCAGATGTTAAAATTTCTTACTTAATTTTGTATCAGTATATCAAAAGAAGAGAAAATGTTACGTCAAACAAATTGGTCCAGCAAATATTTTCTTCTATAAAATTGCTCTTCTGTGTTCACAGAGATAGGATCTCTCTATGGACAGATCTTAAAGCCATACCGAAGTATCTTCTCAATTTATCTTCTTTTTAACATTCCCCCCCCCATTTCTAAAATTATGATTAGGGAGAGATTTGTGGAATCTAAACCCCCTTTTAGTCAGAACCTCTGTCTGCAGTAGGCTGGACAACAGCCCTCCTCTTTCTCTTTACCTTGAAGATGTCAAATTTTTAGAGAGCTATAAAAGGAAACTTAACAAAATTATTGAGGATTCCTATCTAGGCAACTAAGAGCAACAAAACTTTCAAACTGAAAGTTTGTTTTCAAACAAACTTTCAGTATTGTTTACTGTGGGCTTCGTGAGTCAAGGACAAAATGAATCCCCATAAACTTCAAAGGTAAATTGCCTTTAGGATTATTGACTTCCCTCTCAACACTCTACAAGTCATTCAGAATACTTTATTGAGATTAGAACAAAGATTAATGACATTGCTCTAAGGTGATTCTCTGCTTGGATATCTTAAAAGGAATATTTAATCAAAATTTACAATTGCAATCAGCGAAGAATGATGACCATTAAAAAAAAGAAGAAATGCAATTTGTCATTTAGAAATCTTCTTTGGGGGAGGTGGAAGACCAGTGAACATACCCTTTCTGCTACAAATCTCACAGATTGCACACTGGTTCCATATAAATTGTCATTGTACTGGCCGGCTTCTATAAACTTGTGCTCTTGGATATCTTTTTCCATTTGTTCTCTGGAAATGACAAAGTGATAATCTCTGCCATCCACTTCATAGTCACGCTTTGGCCTCGTGGTATCTTTATAAAAGAAGAAATAGTAAAATTGAGGTGTATTGATAGACTCATACAGACTCATGCATTGATAGACTTTACACCTGTTTGTTCCAGCACTTAACAAAGATATGTGGAAATATGTAAGCTAAAGACCACGACACAGTGAGAGGTACTGTTCTTGCCCTGCCACCGTAAAGAAGTACAAAACTGGATAAAATATACAGACAACTGTTTTCAGGCATTAAACGATAGGCGGTGCAAGACTATAATCTTGGAAGAAGAGAAACACATGAGGGGAACTCTGTGTTCACCCTGCCTTGGTCGCTGCCTAGAGGTCATTTCAATGGAGGGTCTAGTGCTAGGAGACATCAGAGTTTAGCTATAACTGGACATTTGGTTGAGTCCCTAAAAAGGCCACAATTTAGATTACTCTAGACTCACCTTTATGAGGTCTAAAGCCAAGTCATAAGTGGAACAAGCTGATCCTTCAGTAAATTATTGCCTGCCACAACAAAACCTTAATGATCTATAAAAGAAGATACCAAATCCAGACTCTTAACAAGTTAGCATTATGGGGCCAGCAGGTGGTGTAGTTGTTACAGTGCTGGTCTCCCACATGGCTGATTCCAGTTCAAGTCCCAGACACGGCAGCTTGAAAGTCAGAGTGGGTGCGTGTGTGTGCGTACCAAATCCCAGGAGGAAAATGGAGGCAAAGGGAGGAGAAGGGATTGCAATATGGCCATCCTCCAGGAGGGTGATTTCTTACTTTCCCCCTCACTGTCTCACTGTTTCTGTCTGGTGATTGTATGTTACCTATGGCAAAAACCTTAAAGAAAAAAATTAACATTACAATGTCTGGCACACAGTAAAATTATGAGACAAGCAAAGAAGCAGGAAAATGTGTCACATAACTAGGAGAAAACAATGGACAAACAGTTATAAATATATTCAGGGGTTTAAAAATATATATAAAATGAATTGAGATGTCAGCAACTTTTACCATTCTACCTCACTTCTTTTGTCAAGAGGAAAACAATCGGGCGGCACATGACATGGTGGTTGAGGTGCTGGACTCCTACATGGCTGACCATGGTTTAAGTCTTGGACCTGGTGGCTTGCTTTCTCACTTTCCTCTCTATCTTTCTCTGGCCAAATAAAAAAATAATGATAATGAATAAAATTAAATCTTAAAAAAAAACAATCTAGAAATAGGAAAAAAAAAAAGCTAAAATATTTCCTTTCTTCAACTAAGTTATTCTGTTTCTAGAAATCTTTAGGAAAGTTTTTTAGAAAGATTTTTGCTATAGGGCACATGCACTTGCCAGAGAGACAGAGACAGAGATAGAAAGTAAGAAATCACCCCTTGGGGGGATGGCTACATTGGAATCCCTTTTCCATTCTCCTCTTGGGATCTTGGGAAGACACGCACACACACTCTATGTGAGTTTTAAGCCACTGGATCTGGGACTTGAAGTGTGGTTGACTACATGGCAGTCCAGAGATGTAACCATTATACCATCTGCTGGTCCCTCTAGAAATCTATCTTTAAAAAGGTCAAAACTTCAAATACATTTAAAAAAAAGAATTATTTACTTAATTTTATTTATTTTATTTTAAAAAGATTGATGAGAGAGAGAGAGAGAGAGAGAGAGAGAGAGAGAGAGAGAAAGAGAGTAAATAAGCTGCCGGGTCCAGTACTCCAACTGTAGTCACTCATGTGGAAGTCTAACACCTTAGCCACCTGCCGGCCTCCTTTAAATACAATTTTATCCTTAAAAATATTCATTAGATTAACTGATAGTATTTATAACACATTAGTATAATTATATTTTAGTTATAATTTATATCTGAAATAATAGGGTAAAACCAAAATGTTCACAGATGAAGTATGCTCAATCACATGGGAAATGCATGTTGAGAAAAGAGTAAGATGGTTGCATTGCTCCACAGCTAAGCAGTGAGCATAGTAAGTCAGATCTCAAGTATCTGACCATGGTTCAAATCCCAGCTCTAGCAGCTTAAAATACATGGTGGGTTTGGGCCAACAGACGGCACAGTGGTTAAGGCACTGGATTTCCATATGGAGGCGTGGCTGATTATGGTTCAAGTCCTACATCTGGCGACTTGAAAATCACACTGGGCCTGTGTATGTGTACGCTCCAAATACCAGGAGAATGGAGAAGGGGTTGTTGCATGGCCATCCTGTCCGGGGGAGGTGATTTCTTATTTTCCCTCTTACTGTTTCTCTCTCTCTCTCCCTGGTGAGCACATGCACCCTGTGGTAAACACCTGAACAACAAAAACCATGCTGGATGTGTGTGTGTGCATGTATACCTAACATCCTGATGGGATGGAGAAATGAAGGAAAAAGGATTGTGGTGTGATCATGCCCTATCGGAGGAGGCTTTCTCTCACTCCATCTGGCAAGCAGATGTGTCCAATGACAGTTAAAAAAAATGTAATCACTAAATTATTTACAGTGATGTTATCTCTGTCCTTTTTATTTATTTAATGTTCTTTTTAGCATTTTCCAAATTTTATATAATAAGTATGTATTGGTTATCATAAAATAGTTCTATTAGTGAAAAAAAGGAAAGATTAGTGTGCAAGATGGAAGGGAAAGTGGAAATGATGCCTACAGACTTTTTAAAATTTTTAAATTTGCTATAAGGTGTATACCCTTACAAGAGAGAGAGAGGGGAAGGGAGGGAGAGAAGAGAGGAAAAGTGATAAAGCACCCCCAATGGGGGATGGCTGTGCCATAATTCCTCTTTTTCTATTCTCCTGGGAGTTTGGACATGTATGCACTCACACCCAGTATGTTTTTCAAGCCACCAGGTCCAGGATTAGAACCGTGCAGCCCTCCACGTGGGATCCATCCCTCATAACCTCCACACTGTGGACTGTCTCCAGGACTTTGTTTTCTTTCTTTCAAAAGTGGAAGATCAAACTGGAATCTGCTGCAACTGACCGAGGGTTTGATTGGCTCCTTCCCATCAGACTTTCTCAGGCTGTGTTCTACAGCAGGATCTTTGCTGAGCTTTCATCAGCAACCATTTCATAAGATATAGTAATCATCCCTTTTCGTCTGTGTATCACGTACGTATGTAATTTCTTCTATTCTCAAGTGTTTCAGGTGACATTTACAGTACTGAAATGTGAGAGACACTTGAAAGCTTAAAAAAATGTAGAAGGATCAGTAGAATGATGTTGGGATTAGCTTTAAGAGCTCAATTATCCAATAAATAAAAATTAAATGAAAATTTCTTAGTGGGTTTGTCTATATTCATAGGTCTCCATGCATATTTATGTGACAGGGGTAGAGATGTGAGATAGTGGAGAAAGTGGAGAAAGCATGGAGGGTGACGGGGTGGGGGGGAGGAGGAGAGGTAGAGCAGACAGAATCTTAAAGGACTACCCTTGGAGGAACCAGGAGGCTTGCTGATTATCTCTTATGATAAAGAAAGCAGATTAAAATCTTACATACTGTGGACCAGGAGCTGGCATAATGGTTACGTTGCTGGACTCCCACATGACCAACTGCGGTTTGAGTCCTGGACTTGGTGGCTACAAACTCACATGGGGTGAATGTGCATGCATGCCCAAGATCCCAGGAGGAGAATGGAGAAGAGACTGCAGTGTGGCCATCCTCCCTTGGGGGTGATTTCTCGCTTTCTGTCTCTGTTTCTCTGGCAAGTGCATGTGCCCTATAGCAGAAATCTTTATCTCAAAACAAAAAACAAAAAAAACAACACCCCCCCCAACAAGTGTGTGTGTGTGACACACACACACACACACACACACACTGGGGCCAGAAGGTGGCATGGTGGTTAATGTGCTAGACTCCCACATGGCTGTGATTTGAGTCCTAGACCTGGAAGCTTGCTTTTTCACTTTCCTTCTCTCTCTTTCTCATCTTTCTCTGGTAAGTGTATATGCCCTATAGCACATAAAAATAATAATAAATAAAATTAATTCTTAAAAAAAACTTATATATCCCTCTTGTCTTCATCCTTCCAAGGCCTAAAAGTATCAAAACATGAGAGAAAGCTGTTTGGTTTGGGAATTGACATAGCCTTAAGTGAGATTATTTTAACATACAACTTTATTTCTGATTTCTCTCATCCTACAGAAAAAGATGCTTCCATGGCATTTGAATCTAGTGTCTGCCTTAAATCCTATGTTGTTTTAAATACTAGGTGGGTTAAAAGGTGCATCTTGCCTTCTAGGGCACCACAGTAAGTTTGGAGAGGCCAATATTACACTTACTAAACAGAGAGCAATACATCAATGATAAATTAGGCATAAAATTAGGCACTCAGAGAATAGGAAACTGATAGCATTTGAGTCGCGGGAGAGACCACTGGAAGAATAGAAATTTGTTTTATTGTCTCATAAGGGATCTAGGCTTTTTTTCTTCTCTCTCTCTGTCTTTCTAGAGAAAAGAAAATTGACACTTACGAGGTACGCAGGAGCCAAACTTATCAGGGAATTCGGATATCAAGTCGTCATTGATCCGATCCTTCATGGGACCCAGGATGATCACTGGCCGGGTATAGTTTACTACAGAGAGGAGAAGGAGGATACAGGTGGGAAAAAGACTCAGGAATGACTGCAACATTGTTCTGATGACTTCAGGTGAAATTGGCAAGCATTAGGAACTACTATTGGCATTACTTCATTGGGTGAATTACCTAGACAGCTTTGCACAGGGAAATGGACATTTAACACACAAGATGCTGGTGGTGCCTACTGTCTGGAATACACTAACAAGGAAATGCAACTGTGATGCCTGTGAACGAAAAGAGCCATTTGGAGTTCTGCTTACGCCCAGGGTGTGCCTACCTAATATCTAAACAATTGAATTTAGTCAAATGAGTGGAGTTTAAGCCAGGTATTTGACCATTTTTTAGAAAATGACTTTTAAAATTATTAGTAGTTAATAACACCTTATGCTTTTATAATTTATATTCCTCAGATCTAAATATGCTGTATATTCTGCTAGGGTTTTCCTGATTCCTTTTTTATCTGGGACCACAAGGAACCCCAATGTCCATTTGTTACAATTCCCATCTGATGCTTGGGTTTGGCCTGCAGTATCCTTGTCAATAGCCATGACCCTCCGTATAAATGCCTGCAGCAAAAGGGAAGTCAGGTCCTTGAAGCAGCCCACAGGTGGCCTATGTGTGAGGTCTGCTAGAAAGTCCTTCCCAACACTGAGCCGACATAAGTCTCCCAGGAGATCTTATCCATCTGTCCCGTAGAGAGGGCTCTTTTGGTGATTTGGATGTGCCGAGACTGAGGACCACTCATCTGGAAGACTGTTCCATCCCCTGGGAGCTTTTACTGAAAGCCTGAAAGCTGTTTGGTAATAGGCCAAAGACAGAGGAGAGTAGGTCTGGAGGCAGTCTTCTATTTTCCTCATTCCATGGTGTCACCTGTTATGGCCTAGAAATCTGGAACCAGAGCATGCTGGGAAACTTACTTTCCTGCCTTGTGACAGGTTCATAGGAAAGAATGAGGTCTTCTTGCCCTCCTAAGAAGAGAAGAAAGGAAAATTACAGTGGACTAACATTCAGGCATACATGACAGCTACAGGCTCTATTCTGAAACATAGGAAACAGACATAGTTCAGGGTTAATCCTATCTTTCTTCCTGTATCACTCAAATCCCTTCATTCTCATAAGTGCTTTAGCAGTATTGTACCGTCAAGATACCAGACATTCATAACTTTGAAAACTGGCTACCTCTCTGCAGCGAGGCATTGACCTATAAGACTGCTTTCTGCCTGGCATTGAGAAGTGGAGCACTAGGGCCTCAAAGGACGCATGTAGTATTCCCGTCACTATCGACCTGCATAATGTCATCGACATGTGATCCACATGTATGTAGTCTTCATGTAATTTTATTGACATATATGTAGTCTTCATGTAGTTTTTGACATGGGGGTCATCTTCTCATTTCTGACATGTGATCAAAGTGCATGTACTCTTCATGTTTTTGATGTGTGATCGACATGCAAGTGACGTGTGTAATCTTCATACCGTTTGACACACAATGAACTTGCATGTAGTCTTCATACCATTCTGACATGCAGTCAACATACATGTAGTCTTCATGTAGTTATTCACGTAGTCGACATGCATGTCACTGGTATGCAGTCTGTCACTTGACACATGATAGCCATGTACGTGGTCTTCATGTTGTTTCTGACATGCAGTTGACATGTGATGACTTTTCTGACATGCGTTAGACATGCATGTCACTGGCCTGTAGTCTGTCATTTCTGACATGTGATTGCCATGCATGTGGTCTTCATGTCATTTCTGACATGTGGTCGACATGTGATTGACATGCATGTTGCCTTCATGTAATTTCTGACATGTGCTCGACATGCATGGCACTGACATGTAGTCTTAATGTCATTCCTGACATGCGTTTGACATATGATTGACATGCATGTGGTCTTCATGTCACTTCTGACATGCGTATGACATGCATACCACTGGCATGTAGTTTTCATGTCATTTCTGACATGTGTCCGACACATGATTGACATGTATGCTGACTTCATGTAATTTCTGACATGTGTTTGACATGCGATTGACATGTGTGTGGTCTTCATGTCATTTCCGACATGTGTTGGACATGCATGTCACTGGCACATCGTCTTCATGTCATTTCTGACATGCGCTTGACATATGATTGGCATGTATGTTGGCTTCATGTCATTTATGACATGCGATTGCCATGTGATTGTCATGCACGTGGTCTTCATGTCATTTCTGACATGCATCCGACATATGATTGACATGTATGTTGCCTTCATGTCATTTCTGACATGCTTTTGACACGTCACTGGCCTGTAGTTTTCATGTCATTTCTGGCATGCATTCCACATATGATTGACATGTATGTTGGCTTCACGTTATTTTTGACATGCGTTTGACGTGCGGTTGTCAAGCATGTTGTCTTCATGTCATTTCGGACATGCATTTGACACGCATGCCACTGGCACGTAGTTTTCATGTCATTTCTGACATGCGTTTGACATGTTGGCTTCATGTCATTTCTGACATGTGACTGCCATGCATGTGGTCTTCATGTCATTTCCGACATGCATTTGACATGTATGTTGTCTTCATGTAATTTGACATGTTTTTGACATGCAATTGGCATGTATGTTGGCCTCCTGTCAATTTTGACATTTGTTCGACAAGTGATTGACATACATGTGGTCTTCATGTCATTTCTGACATGCGTTTGACATGTGATTGCCATGTGTGTTGTCTTCACATCATTTCTGACATGCGTTTGACACACATGCCACTGCCATGTAGTTTTCATGTCATTTCTGACATGTGTTTGACATTGACATGCATGTTGGCTTCATGTCATTTCTGACATGTGATTGCTATGCATGTGGTCTTCATGCCATTTCTGACATGCGTTTGACATGTGTTTGACATGTATGTTGTCTTCATGTCATTTCTGGCATGCGTCTGACACACACGCCACTGGCATGTAGTTTTCATGTCATTTGTGACATGCGTTTGACATATGATTAACATATATGTTGTCATAATGCCATTTTGGACATTCATTTGACATGTGATTATCATGTATGTTGTCTGCATGTAATTTCTGACATGTGTTCAACATACATTACTTATGCAGTCTGTTTTTGATATGCAATCGACATGTATGTAGTGAGAATGATCTGCTACATAATCCACTTCTATACTTTTTATTTCATCTTTCATTTCATGTCCACATTGCTCAAAAAGCAAGCATCTGCTTATTTTACTGGGTTGTTGGGAAAGTTATGACACATTTTTGGTTAAAAACAAAAATGACTTTCCTAACAACCTATATTTACAATATCAAAACTTCAGTATCTGTTATGGGACACTACCAGTTTTACATTAATACTAATTCACCAGGAAACTGCTGTGGGTCACACAGATGAGATTTAGACATAAGCAATGCCCGCCATCATTGGTTACAGTTGCTGCTCAACTGTGCCTGAGGAACAAAGGAAGAGTTCATCTGCTACAAATAGCCTTTTGATTCAGGGTGGGGCTCAAGTCAACAAATAGCCATGCAATGTACATCATTCTGGGGGCACTTATCTTTTCAACCCTCTATTTTATCCAGTTGATGAACAAATTTGTCATGGGATTAGCCCAGTTCAGTTGCAAACTCAGAGGAGTCTGCTCTCATATTTGCAGCAGGCCTATTGCTAACCAACCTTTAGTGATGAAATAATGTTGGAAAGGATTTCCTGTCTGCTGGAGGAGTTGGTGGAGGAGATGAACAGTTTTTCCTGAAAGCAAAGGGCAGCTAACCTCATTGCCTATGTCCTCAACACTCCTGCAATGCATGCAAAGTCTGTCAGCACCAGGTTCTCCTCCTCCAATAGCACCAGCAGCAAAAGGTGAATTAATTTCTTAAAAGAAATTAAGCTCATAGACAGTTTCAATAATAATGATTGACTTGGGGAAGTTAAGCGATATGTGTTAAAAGTGTAAAGTACAGATGTGTCACTGGATGTTGGGTAGTCTAGCTGAGATGGGGGTGAGAGTATCTTTCTTGCTTTTTCAGGTGTGAAAAATGGCCCCAGGCTTAAGTCATATGAAGGGGGACTTCAAAAGTTCATGGAAGATAGATTTAAAGTATGAGTTTATTTTGGTGCAGAAAAGACAAATGGAAATCCATGCATAGTTTTTCCACAATACACATTTTCCATGAACATTGAACACCCTCCTGCCCCCAATATCTCACACTCAAGGACAGCTCACTCTCAGAATGCTCTGCTATTCTAAACTGTTGCCTAGAGGCCCTAGTGGGTTTTGATGCTTCTCCAAAGTGAGAGCTACCTAGGGCCAGCCCTGAAATACTCTGGAAACTCGCCCTCATCCAGGCAGGAGTTTGGTAGTGTGTGGAGTCAACTTCAAAATTTTTTTGTACTCAGGAAAAGAACCATTTCTTTTGGATAAACTAAACTACTGAAACTGTTGAGTATAAGCCCACGAAATTGAAGGTGATGAGTCAGTCACCTGATTAATCATATTATAAACATGATAGACTAACATTGCAATGCTAGACTCTAACTTTACAGGGAAATCTTCATGAGAAGATTAATTAAGGTTAATACGTGGGAGGGCAATCCCAACCATGGAATAACAGAAGTTTCCAATGTCAGGTGATCCTTGTGCCCACCCATTAGGTTGGGAGTGCCACAGAGGCAAGGGTCAAGTCTCATTCATACTGTGTCCCTCAGTGCCCAGTCAAGCACTTGACAGAAAGAAAGATGTCAGTGAATTCATGTTCTGACTTTAGTTAAGGAGCACTGGGTGAGCAATAAGGCTAAAGCCAGATTCTACTTTGTATTTCTGTCCATATGATCATTTCACATTGAGAAGTGTAGTTTTCTCTAAATATAACACAACGTGCTGCCATTAGATTCTTTTCAGCTGCCTTGGAAATCATTCTGAAGGCAACCCTTAAATAAGCTATTTGATGTCAGTATGTATAACTAGTGACTCAGAAAACGAGGGCAAAGCATAGGTTTGATTAATTTTGTTAGAGAGTTCTATAGTTCTTTTTTTATCCACCACTTTTTGCCTTACTTATCTAAATGGAAAAAGCATTGGTTCTCGTTCAGAGCAGTAGTGCTGGCAGACAGCACTAGCAGCATCCCTAATGTCAAGGCCCACCCCAGTTCTCAAGATCCTGTGATGGTCAGGTCCTGTGTAATACCCAGGAAGCCTGGAGGGAAGCTGTGAATGTTGGCCTTACATATTTGTTGGGAATTCAGTGCCTTAAACCAATTTTAATTTTCATGTTCAAAGGAAAAGCTGTGCATTTGTGAGAAGGAGACAAAGGGGAGAGAAAAAAATGTCAACCATGAAGAAAATTAATGCCTATATTGTACTTTGCAGGTCTTGAGGGGTTTTCTCATCATTGACCTCTATACCTTGCAGCCATTCTTGAGTTAGGCACTCTGATGATCCATCTGCATTTTACAGATAAAGCAGCTGAGGCTAGAGATCTTAATAAATCATCTGCTTCCTTAATATATAAGGAATGGAGTCCAGTTGTAAAGCCACATCTTTTTTTTTTTTTTTTTGACATATCTTTTGCTGAGTATACCACACTGCCTCAAAAAGGTAAGAGAAGTAGAATTTTCTATGGGAGGTCAAGGTAGAGCTTTCAAAGGAGCCAAGGATGGGGGTAGAGATAGGAGCTATAATAAAACCATGTCAGAGTCACTGAGAAGCCGTAGGTTTGCTGCCTTTAAACTTCAGTCTTTTTTTTTTTCTCCCCCCTAATGCTGCTGTGTCATCTCCACAAAATAGTCATCATTAGTAGTTTTTCTATTTTTTGCTTGGGAGAGGTTGGCACTTAGAAATAACAGCTGACAAACAGGTACAAACTATTTCTTGGTCTTGTTTTGACAACTGCATGGCTGAAAGTGGGAGGGGAGTGCAGAGCCACGTGTGGACATCTGCAGCTGTCAGAGACTTGGCGGAG